AGCACGCAGAGGGCACCACCAGCAGCACACGGCCAGTCACCATCATCATCATCGCCATCACTCCTGTCACTTGCGTGTAGCCTTCGGCACAAACTAACAACACGTCAACGCAGGGTGAAGGCAAAGACACGGCCTTTACACCACGCACAGCCACCGCACAGCCACGCACCGTCCCATCCAGCAGCAGCGCATACATCACGAGACAGATGAAATCAGTACTATTGCAGAACTCGCACACCGCCATGCAAACCAGAAGTTTAAAAGCAATAAAAAAAGAATAATTAAAGAAAGAAAACTACACTCAGGGCTCTGCTGCGCATGCATAAAATTGTGTCCGGGATGCGTTCAACGTGGCGGATGTGGGGAAGCAACGCGGAGCACACAGCAGGGCAGCGGAAGCAAATGAAGCAAAACACAATCATTATTGTCCCCTATTTAGTTACATCGGAACACAGTGGACGCGCACACAAATCCCCGCGGTTGAGTGCTGGCACGCACAGCCCGCACACACCTCTTCAGCCCACAGCGGTGTACGCCAGCGCGGATACGGCGAGCAGCAGCGGGGCACACACCAACGCAGAGCTGATGAGGCTGCCGTCGATTTCGCGAAGACGTGACGGTGCGCGGGTGGTCGTCGTAGTTGGCGCCTCTGTAGTCGTCGTACTTGGTGCCTCTGGCGCAGTGGTGGTCGTGGTCGTGGTTGGTGCCTGTGTTGTGGTCGTCGTGGTCGTCTGGGCGGAATCCTCTTCACTCTTATTTCTTTTTTCTGCGGATGGATTCTTGTCACTTGTTGTCTCTGTCATACCGTTCTTAACTTCTGCCGCTGACGCATTGGGCTTCGCATTTAATTGCGTTTTCGGAACGGTCGTAACTCCTCCATCTTCATGTGCGGCAGGATTTCCCATGTCCCCACCGGACTCCTCACCTTTCGGACCTGGCTGACCAAGCGTCAGGGTTGTTGCCTGTGTTGCAGTCGTCATCGTGGTCTTCTGGGAAGAATCTTGTTCCGCCCGCTCAGTCTCTGATGCATTGGACGGGCAGCAGCACAGGGCGAGCACCAACAGGGCGCACAGCAGACGGCACGTCGTCGTCATCGTGAATGTGGTCGTTCAGTGGTGTGGAGCTGATCTGCACAGTGAGGGACATGGAGAGCAACAGGGGAGACGAGAGGTGCGGCAGACACACACAGAGGGCACACCACATGAGGAGAGAGGGCAGCAGCCAGGCATGCACCGTACGCCGCACACCACGCACGACACACACTCCAATCCACGGCAGCAGGCACACACACACACAGCCCTGCCGCAGCACCAACACACAGATGGAAGAGGGAGAAGCAAACAGGAGCGGCACACAAGGCTCCACCGCATGCACATACGGCGAGAGCGGTCCGTCGTGTCGGCATCCCTCACGGAGGGTACGCACACACACAAGAGGAGGTGCAGCGCTCACAGCAACACAAAAGCAAAGTAACAATTAAAAAGAGGAGATCCCCGCACACCACGTGGATTGTTGGTCCACAGGAAGTGCAGCCAACATTCATCACAAAAACAATTCAGTTGCCTTCGGCCTTCGTTCATATTCAGCGCACACCACTTCATGCAAGCGTAGCCACCACTATCGCAGCAGCCGCACACGCAACGTTAAGCGCAAAAGAAAAGCGGTGGTGTGGGAGGCTGCGGTGCCGCTGTCACTGTCGCCAGGCTTCGTCGTGTCATCGGCTTTGGCGTTTGTGGTTGGCGCTGCTGTGGATCCCGCAGTCTGAGAGACCGTATCATATTTGTTGGCTGATGCAGCTTCACCATCGGAATTCGTTCCGGGTGGTGTGGCGCCTTCAGTGGAGGGTCGGTTCGGATGATTGGTGGCCGGAGCGCCTTCTGTGCCAGTGTCAGACTGCATGACCGTAGCTGCCGCGGTGCTGCTGCCGCTGTCGCCCTTCGTCGTTACAACACTCATTTCTTCAACCGTCGTGAGTGGCAATCGTGAACCTTCCCCTCTACCCGCTGAAGCGACAGCTTTTTGCCGGTGTCCTTATTCTGCTGAATGTCTCCCACGACAGACTGTTGAGAATTCTTCGTGCCAATGTCGTTTTCGTGGCTTTTCGCGTCAACACGGCCAGCTGCAGATGTGGATGATGGATTTGCATGCGGTGAGTTGTTGGGCAATGGAGGCTACACAGAACTCGACAAATTTCGTTGATCCTCACCAACTGGCAAACTGCCTTTTGATGAATTTATCGTTTCAACTCCATGAGTTCCACTCAACGATTGCGACTGTAAACCCTCATTCTCACGCGACTGCGGGTCCTTCACTGAGATCAGTCCGTCCTCAGGCTTTTTTACCTCTTCTCCTGTTCCATCAACTTCCTTCTCTTTCCAACATCATTAGCAACTTCTTTTCTTGCTTTTTCTTCCTCATCAGCAACATCTCCGGCTCCTGAAAGGAGGCCTTCAAAAGATGAGGGGAGGTTTTCTTATTGTTGGACACTTATTCCTGGTGCTTCTGGGCCTGGGGGGTGTGTGGTACTGGCGTTTCATAACGTAATGTACCCTTTAAATCTCCTCTGTCACTCTCAAGACCATCAGGCTAAGAAACTGCGAGTACTTCTTCACAACACCCTTCGGAACAGCACCACAGCACGCAGAGGGCACACACCAGCAGCACACGGCCAGTCATCATCATCGCCATCACTCCTGTCACTTGCGTGTAGCCTTCGGCACAAACTAACAACACGTCAACGCAGGGTGAAGGCAAAGACACGGCCTCTACACCACGCACAGCCACCGCACAGCCACGCACCGTCCCATCCAGCAGCAGCGCATACATCACGAGACAGATGAAATCAGTACTATTGCAGAACTCGCACACCGCCATGCAAACCAGAAGTTTAAAAGCAATAAAAAAAGAATAATTAAAGAAAGAAAACTACACTCAGGGCTCTGCTGCGCATGCATAAAATTGTGTCCGGGATGCGTTCAACGTGGCGGATGTGGGGAAGCAACGCGGAGCACACAGCAGGGCAGCGGAAGCAAATGAAGCAAAACACAATCATTATTGTCCCCTATTTAGTTACATCGGAACACAGTGGACGCGCACACAAATCCCCGCGGTTGAGTGCTGGCACGCACAGCCCGCACACACCTCTTCAGCCCACAGCGGTGTACGCCAGCGCGGATACGGCGAGCAGCAGCGGGGCACACACCAACGCAGAGCTGATGAGGCTGCCGTCGATTTCGCGAAGACGTGACGGTGCGCGGGTGGTCGTCGTAGTTGGCGCCTCTGTAGTCGTCGTACTTGGTGCCTCTGGCGCAGTGGTGGTCGTGGTCGTGGTTGGTGCCTGTGTTGTGGTCGTCGTGGTCGTCTGGGCGGAATCCTCTTCACTCTTATTTCTTTTTTCTGCGGATGGATTCTTGTCACTTGTTGTCTCTGTCATACCGTTCTTAACTTCTGCCGCTGACGCATTGGGCTTCGCATTTAATTGCGTTTTCGGAACGGTCGTAACTCCTCCATCTTCATGTGCGGCAGGATTTCCCATGTCCCCACCGGACTCCTCACCTTTCGGACCTGGCTGACCAAGCGTCAGGGTTGTTGCCTGTGTTGCAGTCGTCATCGTGGTCTTCTGGGAAGAATCTTGTTCCGCCCGCTCAGTCTCTGATGCATTGGACGGGCAGCAGCACAGGGCGAGCACCAACAGGGCGCACAGCAGACGGCACGTCGTCGTCATCGTGAATGTGGTCGTTCAGTGGTGTGGAGCTGATCTGCACAGTGAGGGACATGGAGAGCAACAGGGGAGACGAGAGGTGCGGCAGACACACACAGAGGGCACACCACATGAGGAGAGAGGGCAGCAGCCAGGCATGCACCGTACGCCGCACACCACGCACGACACACACTCCAATCCACGGCAGCAGGCACACACACACACAGCCCTGCCGCAGCACCAACACACAGATGGAAGAGGGAGAAGCAAACAGGAGCGGCACACAAGGCTCCACCGCATGCACATACGGCGAGAGCGGTCCGTCGTGTCGGCATCCCTCACGGAGGGTACGCACACACACAAGAGGAGGTGCAGCGCTCACAGCAACACAAAAGCAAAGTAACAATTAAAAAGAGGAGATCCCCGCACACCACGTGGATTGTTGGTCCACAGGAAGTGCAGCCAACATTCATCACAAAAACAATTCAGTTGCCTTCGGCCTTCGTTCATATTCAGCGCACACCACTTCATGCAAGCGTAGCCACCACTATCGCAGCAGCCGCACACGCAACGTTAAGCGCAAAAGAAAAGCGGTGGTGTGGGAGGCTGCGGTGCCGCTGTCACTGTCGCCAGGCTTCGTCGTGTCATCGGCTTTGGCGTTTGTGGTTGGCGCTGCTGTGGATCCCGCAGTCTGAGAGACCGTATCATATTTGTTGGCTGATGCAGCTTCACCATCGGAATTCGTTCCGGGTGGTGTGGCGCCTTCAGTGGAGGGTCGGTTCGGATGATTGGTGGCCGGAGCGCCTTCTGTGCCAGTGTCAGACTGCATGACCGTAGCTGCCGCGGTGCTGCTGCCGCTGTCGCCCTTCGTCGTTACAACACTCATTTCTTCAACCGTCGTGAGTGGCAATCGTGAACCTTCCCCTCTACCCGCTGAAGCGACAGCTTTTTGCCGGTGTCCTTATTCTGCTGAATGTCTCCCACGACAGACTGTTGAGAATTCTTCGTGCCAATGTCGTTTTCGTGGCTTTTCGCGTCAACACGGCCAGCTGCAGATGTGGATGATGGATTTGCATGCGGTGAGTTGTTGGGCAATGGAGGCTACACAGAACTCGACAAATTTCGTTGATCCTCACCAACTGGCAAACTGCCTTTTGATGAATTTATCGTTTCAACTCCATGAGTTCCACTCAACGATTGCGACTGTAAACCCTCATTCTCACGCGACTGCGGGTCCTTCACTGAGATCAGTCCGTCCTCAGGCTTTTTTACCTCTTCTCCTGTTCCATCAACTTCCTTCTCTTTCCAACATCATTAGCAACTTCTTTTCTTGCTTTTTCTTCCTCATCAGCAACATCTCCGGCTCCTGAAAGGAGGCCTTCAAAAGATGAGGGGAGGTTTTCTTATTGTTGGACACTTATTCCTGGTGCTTCTGGGCCTGGGGGGTGTGTGGTACTGGCGTTTCATAACGTAATGTACCCTTTAAATCTCCTCTGTCACTCTCAAGACCATCAGGCTAAGAAACTGCGAGTACTTCTTCACAACACCCTTCGGAACAGCACCACAGCACGCAGAGGGCACACACCAGCAGCACACGGCCAGTCATCATCATCATCATCGCTCCTGTCACTTGCGTGTAGCCTTCAGCACAAACTAACTCCCCGCCAACGCGGACTGAAAGCAAAAAGGGAGACAAGTCACACAACCACGAACCGTCCCATCCAGCAATGAGAGCCACGCGCCACCGCAACACAACAATTGGGTGGACACGGTTCAACAACAAACAAAAAAAAAAAAAGAGGAGCGCTCCTCGCCCGCGCATCGTTCGTCACACTCCCACAGTCACCAATGCTGTTGTTCTCTCACCCCTCAGGCCCTCGCAGGCACGCCACGCTCACCTCAACACGCGCCCCTCCAGCACAGGCCTCGGGATCGTCATGCGCTCCCGCTGCGCCACAACGCCCGCCACCTCTTCCCTCAGTCAAACAGCTCCGTGTCCTCCATATCCCTCACAATCGCCGGCATGCCCCGGCCACGCAACACACACAGCACCACAATGTCGTGCCGCCCCTCCTCCACAATCACGAGCGCAGCGCCAACGCGCACTGGCGCACGTGCTCCATGCGCTGCGAGCGCGCACGGATCACTCCGGCCGTCATGCACTGCGTCTCGTTGTCCTCGTGCTCGGAGCGGACCCTCAAACACTCTCAATCCACGGTCCGGAAACTGCGAGAGGCTGCCGAAAGGCGCCGCTTTTGTGGAAGACGCAAATGTGCGGAAAAAACGGCCACCCTCAGCCCATCACGCGTCTCTGCTCCTTCCGCTGTTCCACGCACAAGGGCGGGGCCGTGGGAAGAGAATCCCGCCGCACAACGGACGCACGATGGCGCACGC